GACTCATGGCACACTTTCTCCGACTCTTAGATCATCATTCGAGCGAAAAGATCATAGAATAGTTTGTTTAATTTTGCACGATTCCATCGGTTGAGAAGCCAAAGTACAGTGATGAACACCTAAAATTTATCGAGACCTCAAAAGACATTTTCATTAATGAAATAATTTTATTTCTGATATGGGAATGGCAGAACGCAGTAAGTAGTATTATTTTATGGACATTTATAGTATTTTTCCTTCCCATTCTTTTCATCTTCTATTTAGTACACGTATTCCTCTGAGCCAGCTGAATCTAGCTTCTGATCGTTCCATATCGAGACTTTTTACTTGATCAAGGGTGTCGTCAAGGTCAGACCTTGGCTGCAGAAAAACTGAAGTTATCGGAAAAGTTGATTTATATCTTGAACTACCTGGTAAAATCCTTCTGCTATCTTTTTCTGTTTATCCTTTTCCAATAACTCTGCTTTGCGCTTTTTCTCGGATTTTGTCAGCTCTTTTACCACTGGATATGGAATCCATTTTTCGGCAGAAACTTTGACAGCAGGTTGAACATTATACTTATCAGCCTCATCAATCTGTGTCTTATCTGCATCATCATCAAACTGTGTCTTGTCCTAAATAGAATTTCAACAAAAAATCAAGCTTGAGCACTCGCTTACTTCTTACCTCAGTGCTGACCTTCGCTGCTGCAGATGCTTTCGAAATAGATTGTTGTTTTGATTGAAGCGTTTCACCACTTTTATTTCCTTTTAGTAATACAGAGCTCATTTTCTTCTTTTCCGCAGTCTTTTCAAACTTCTCCTCCCTTTGTTCCGCACTCCCTGTTTTAAGCTGCAAATCTTCCTCCTCCGAACTTCTGCTGACGCAGTTAATCGTCAGCCAAGTAAACAGGAGAAACGTTGAAATTTGCTGAAAGAGCAATTCTAAGCAGCAACAAAGAGTAAGTGATTTCAGAGATTACCTGCAGGGTTAGAGCAAACAAGAGATGGACCCAATTGCTCTCTGCGGCAAAAGGAAGAGACCACTCGAACCAACCACCCAGCTTGCCCACAATAGTAGATTTGTTTCCTACTAAAAGTAAAAAACCACCCATTGTTAGCAGAAGATCAGATCATTACAAAAATTTTGGCTTTTATTAGCAGAATCGGTTGTTTTTCTTGTTCTGTAGTCGTAAAGTGAGAGCAAACGGAACTGTACTAAAAAATGGCTCACGATGTTTCAAAATGGAAGAAGACAAAGCGGTAGTTAGAAATAAAAGAATGGCTTGTATATAATAACTAAGAGCAGAAATTATGCGGAATTTTACAAGCCACTCAGTTGAAAAGAGGCACGACTGGCTCCGTCTATCTCTCCTATAGGCTGACGGCTCCCTCAGAAAAAAAGTCTTGTTGTTTCTGTTTGATATGCCAATTGCGAAAAGAGCGACGGATTGAACGAGAGAATTTGTCGTTTTAGAAAAAGAGAAGACGCGAAAATTGCTACTTTTAAAAAGCAGGTCAAACAACATAAGGCATTCTGACAAGTTTCGCTTTTCTGTTGGAATGTTCTTTCACAGCTTTTCTCGCAGAAATATTTTGAAAAAGACTATAAAAAATTAAACTAAATAAGGTAACTGGTGTAGTTAAAGGTTCACTGCTATAACTTGTCGGATCACGGGTTCCTACCTCACAAGCCAACTGTGCCTTTCATATCTGCGTGTTGGGAAATTGGTACTAGCTTCTCTGTGATAAAAAATGTCTCACGTGTTCAAAAAAGCTTGATTTCTGAGATTCTACTTCCCACCTATTTTCTACGTCTTTATTTAAAAAAAGGAAATAATTAGTGTCGAATCAAAAGAGATATATACTGGTAGATGCAGCTGGAATTTGATTCTAAACGCCCTTCGTACCTGCTGAGCATTTTTTCCATAAGAAGCTATGGAAGTTTTTCTGCCAAAAACAGTTCAATACATGCTCTAAAACATCATGTTACACAGGCAATAGCGACATAAAACTTATTCTTCGATAGAAAATTAATACATTAATACTCAATTTTTTCGTTGTTGTTTAAGGTAAGGTTGAATGTCTGAGCAATTTGTGAATGTCCTGTAAGTTTCTAACTGAGAACACGTCCGTAACTTCCTCAGAGAAATTTCGCGCATGGGAAAGATTTGTTAGCCATGTTTGTCACGATGAATCAGTATTTAGTTGCTGATTAGACTAACTCTCCTTCCAGCAAAATCAGAGACAGACTCCTTCTTTGTGGTCAAAACGCGGAAGAAGGAAGTGAAAGTACGCAAAATTTACAAGCGTTTGCGCCTTTTGCGCTAAGTCACAAACACTGAGGCCATCAAATTCAAGATCGGCTACTCTCCTCAAGCATTTTAATAGGCTGATTCGCACTTATTTACCTCTAAAAGTCCCTAGAGCGCAGACATTAGGAACTGAACTCAAAACATTATTATACAATTATTTGAAGAATGGAACAGGAAAATTATTAGATTCAAGCTGAACCTAGTGATAAACATTCTCAGTGTGGACAGCCCAGCGGACCTGTCCTGGGGTTCAGTTTGTGCCTGACGCGTCAATCAGATATGATAGTAAGCATGATGTTCTTCTCTATTACACCTTACTTTCATGTTACATATATGTTAGTTTATATTCCTCCCACCACCCATTCCTGTAACATTCATTCCCAAGTCCAGCTGATATATCGCTGACGTTCAAGAGGCTCTACGCTTTTGGCGCTAAGGAAATCTCAGAAGTGATAGCATTTCAAGATTTTCTCTCTTCATTTGACATTGAAGACCTTAAGTTCAAGTCATATATCACTTAAGTTCAAGTCATATATCATAGTCACTTTATTCGCCCTCTTCCCCCAAAACAAAATAACTTCAGAGATAGTGTTAATGTTAGTCAGTTAGTAGTAGTAGTATATATTACATGATTTCACATAAACCAATGAGCTCTAGCGTCTACTGAGCAGAAAACGCGTAATTCAGTACACACGGAAACCGGTCGATAGAGAATGGAAAAATATGAAGTTATTTGCAGGAGAAGTGGCATAAATGTTTTTACATCTTGTAAGATCAGAGTGAATTAAGAAAAAGAACTTCGAAGAAACCTTAATGGTAAGTAGAATCATTTATATGTAAAAGTATGCGGCATAGGAAAAGAGCAAAATTAGACGAGGCCCAAGTAATCATGAATGTCCTGTGCAACCTTCTTATCAGCTGTAGCTTTCAGAAATTCGGCAATAGAATTGATACGAGCTCTGTATCCATTCGCTTGCTGGAATGCTGCGAGAAGATTTCAAAGGTTGAAAAAAGAAACGCTAGGAAATTCTCACTTCGACGATAATGCGTTGAAGACGAGCCACTTCGGTTTCACGTTCGGCCAGCTGACGGCGCAGCTCTCTAATTGCAACGCTGAGGTCGAGTCCGCGCATAAGATGCTGGAGGTGCTGATCAGGAGGAGGTTCTAAATTGCTTTATAACGTGAAAGCTTAGATGAAAAGTAGAACATCAACATTTAATGAATAAAGACGAACCATCGTTGGATAACACACCATCCAGCGCCGGTACAGCGTCGGAAGAGTTAGTAGCATCAGCCGGATTATCAACATTGGAAGACAATAACGTCTCTAGAGGAGACAACAAAGGCCAATTGTCACTGAACCTAAACAATGAGCTTTTATGGGTATTACTACTAAACTCGTAAATGTAAACTTACGATTCCGGACGCAATCTGCGACGTCGTTTGCAGTTTGAGAACAGCTTCTTAGCTTGTTCAACTCCAAGTGGGCTAAGAACATTCCCATACTTTTCGTTGGTAAGATGAGTGATCTTCACCCACATATTGTGTCTTTCTGCATTGACTTGTGCGGATCTGCAGCATTTCATGGATAAGTGCCATTAGTGCAGATAATCAAGATATTCAAAATGAATTCTCAAATTATAGGACTGCAAAACATCCTACGTTAAGAACACTTATGCAGAATACAAGATTAGTTTGGGACTTATCAAGGTCCAAATGATCAAAAAAATGAGATTCGGAGTCAGCATGAGGTTACATTTTTTTGCACACTGTCGGTAGAGATACCTGTCTGTTAGAAAAGCACAGAAAAATGTCCTCCCCCTTC